GCTCCGCCCCGCTGAGGCCCGGGCGGCCGGAGGAGGCCTCGCGTCCTGCCCTCCCCTTCTTCTGTGCGGCGAGGCCTCCCTCCCCAGCACTTGTCCGTCCCGGTGAGCTGGAAGCCCCCGGCAGCCTTCCTTGGTCGCACAGGCGGGTGAAAGACAGGGAGGTGCGTCTTGCTTCGTGGCTTGTCCCTGGAAGTCCGACCTCAACCCAGTCGCGGAGCCGTGGGGATGATCCTGTGCTCAGCAGGGCCCCGGCTCCAGAGACTTGACCTGGGGTGTCCGCCACCTTCTCGGACCCCCGCACGCGGAGATTTAGTCAGCCTAGATCTCAGCTTGGGTTTTCCCGTCAGTTGCCTATCATTACACCGGAGAAATCCAGGTGATCAGAAAATATGACGGGGGTGACCCGGATGTTCAACTTTTTCCTTTCCTGCTTCAAAAAGCCTCGTGGTGGAACGTCTGCTCGACCCCTTCACGTGGAAGGGTGAGAACTCTGCCTAGGAACACAGCGTGAATGGAAGAGACCTGTCATTGTGAGTCTGGCTCTTGGCTAGTCATCGGATGTCTTCCCTAGAGTGATAAGACTTTACAGTCATGAACTTCAGGGTCTGAGATAAATCTTGCCAACCTGGAGTTGGAGGACAGAAATGGTAGGACTTAACACCAGTTTTGCTTTTGTTCGATATTGAAGACCTTTGAGTCGCCCTGGAAAGGATACACATTTTTCATGTGGCTCTGACGAACTAATTCATAATATTGGTGTTATGACCCAGATGACAGCAGGAAATCGGATATCAGGTCATGCTCTTATGGCTCACGTACACATGAAAAGTGTGTATACCTGCCTGGCACATGTATAGGCGTTTAGCACAGCAGCTGGTAAATGTCAGTAATTCCATCGCAAGGTGAATTGACCAAGCTTTTAGAATGGTGGCAGGTTCCATATGAGAAGGAGGAATGGATTTCATGATAGTCTTTTCAATTTCTTAGATGCCTTTCCCAAGAAATTGACTGGAAATGGGGAAACTAAGTGTGTCCACCCTAAGGCGTGAGTAAGCAGCTATTCCATTCTAGGGAGAAATCAGAGAGCTAGATGGAGGGTGGGTTCCAGTGAAGTTCCCAAGATGAGTATGCATTTTGTATTTGACCACTTGTGTTTTCTTTGGTAGATGCAAACAGTTCAGCACTCTGCACAGACACTGAAAACAGCTCTCATCTCAAAGAATTCAGTGCTTGTGTCCCAGTACGAGAAATCAGATGTTGGGGAGCAGCGTCTCCTGAACGAAGCCTTCCAGCCAGCCAATGGTCTCTTTGGGCCCATTACCTTGCACTCTCAGTCGGACTGGATCACCTCCCATCCCGAGGCTTCTCAAGACTTCGAACAGTTTTTCAGTGATCCTGACAGAAGAACACCCTCTCCGGACAAACGCAGCATTTATCTACAGTCCATTGGTACATACTGGTAATATGCTGATTTTGGTTTGCTTTTGCAGTTGCTGGTGTCAGGAATAGTTTGGGCTCTGGGTCTGATTGAAGTTGGCAGTTTTTATGACCCTTATCGACACTAATTGCAATGGTAGAAGTTTTGTAGCTAAGTTGACTTAAAAGATAACATTTTGCTTCTTTTAAATTCATTTTGACATCAATGAATGATAAAGGTATATTGAAAATTTGGAGTTGGTTTTGTTTCTAATTTCAAATTTTTAGACTTGGCTAAAGACTGAATATTTTAATCATCTTAAAGTCTGTCTTTAAATTTTCTTCCACATTATAGGATCTCTAGGAAAAACCAGAATTATCAGTGAAGAATATATTAAATGGCTCAAGGGCTACTGTGAAGCATTTTTCTATGGGTTGACAGTAAAACTCCTAGAGCCGGTTCCTGTTTCTGCAACGAGGTGTTCCTTTAGAGTCAACGATAACACACAAAACCTACAAATTCATGCAGGTGAATTAACAACTTTACAATTTGAATTGAGTAAAGAAAGTATGTGTGTGTGTGTGTGTGTGTGTGTATACACACACACACACATACACACACATACATACCTACGTTTCTTTTTAAGTAGGGCACATCCTGAAGTTCTTAAAAAAGAAGAAACCTGACGATGCCTTTTGTGTTGTGGGGATAACAATGATTGATCTTTACCCAAGAGACTCCTGGAATTTCGTCTTTGGACAAGCCTCTTTGACAGATGGTATTCCATTTTGGCATTATTAGAAACTTCTTCAACTTGAAAATATTTAAAGATGTTAAAAGAGGGAAAAAATTCCAACCAGTAATAATTTTGACATTTAAAACCATGTAGTGTTTTCAGTGAGGCATCATGCCATCGTCGGAAATGTGCTGTTGATGGATTCTGATGATCTGGGTTCCTCTCCAGGTGGCTGATCACTGCCTATGTGACCTTGAAGACAAAAATAATACCCATTTCACAGAGTCATTTTGAGATAATTTACATACAAGTGCCTATACATAAAAATGTGTATATACACCTGCCACATATATAGGTGTTTAGCACAACAGTTGGTAAATATCAGTAATTCCATAGCAAGGTGAACTGAACAAAGAAACTGCTTGAACTATCGTAACGTATATGAAAATCTTGCAGATTGTTTTTTAACTGTTTTCATAGTCATCTTGATAGATGGAATGGCCATAGGTTGATATTTAAGTGTACACTTCTTTCTTTTGCCATATCTTATGACATTTGTTTTGGGGGCCTTTTTAACTTAAAGTCAACTTTAGTCTTTGAGTTGAGATCTCATAAATTTTGATTCATTAGGTGGGGCTGGGAAAAGATCTGGAAACAGGTTATATTTTTACTTGTTCATTTTTATTTATTTGTCATCTTTCTACTTCTCTTCTCCCCACCCCTTCACTTTGGCTCTTATTTCTCTAAACTCATCCTACAAGATCTAAGACAAATTTTAAAGGGAAAAAGCCAGTGAATGAGGGGGAGTGGTTCATTAGTGTTCTGGGGTGGGAGGAAGAACCAGGAAGTATACAGATTATTTATGGTCTGTCTGGATGTACATGAGCCTTAGGAGTTGGAGTGGGTGAGGGCTTTTCGTGACCAGTCTTTCTTTCTACTAGAGGTGGGACTGTAGGGGATTAGAACTTCTTCCTGCCTGCTCCATCCTTAGTTCTTTATTTGTGCGAAGTTCCTTGTGGCCCACTGTGACCCTACCAACATACTATCTTGGAGACTTGGATCACTACTCTCTTTTAAAACAATTTGCTTATCCAGATACTGCTTCTCAAACTATTTCTATTTAAGTTCTTTTTTGGGGTAAGTTTCTTAAGTATTGTAAGACATATGAAAAGGTGTACATAGTAGGGTAGTGTAGGGTTGCTCTGCCCTGCAGCAGGACAATATCTTGACACAGGTGACCTGGTTTTCTTCAGGTTTACAAATACTGGTTCTTTAAGATTGAGAAACATTTATTACTCAAGAAAACAGTCTTTTTATTAGAAGAAAGAAATGTTCTTGCTAAAAGTATGCCCACACTGGATTGGCCAGAAAAATGCCTTGTGATACATTAATAGATTTACTGGTTTTTTTTTTTTCTTCTTCCAGAATGCTGTTTCCCTAAATTTCAAATACCAGTTTATACGTTCAGAGGGTGGAGCAAGAAACATTCTTTTTGAATCAAATTGGATTGGACAAATTTACTATGAGTCTATTTTCTTGAAAAATGTGTTATTGTTAAAATAACAACTAAACAAGAGGCATAAATAAGAGTGATAATGTAGATAAGTCATTATACAACAATCCCTAGAGTGAGTTACACATCAGACTGTGTTCTCCCTGCATGCAGAGGTGGTTGGTATAACTCTAAATATAACACAGGAAGTTAGTTACAAGGGTTCATATTTATTCTGGTCAGCTGACACTGGTGACATAATGGAGTTGTGCTGTTCTTAGAAACGGGGGTGGGGCAGAGGAAGAGGTTATTCTGTCTAGAGGCATGGTCCAAATCATGGTCTCCAAGACTTCAGGGCAGTGACCTTTAGTGGTACCCCCTTCCCTGACACACGCATAGCAGAGATGTATTCAGTGTGTTCTTTTTTGTTTTTGTTTTTTTTTGAGTTGGAGTCTCACTCTGTCACCCAGACTGGAGTGCAGTAGCCGCTCCCGGCCACTGCAGCCTTGACCTGCTGGGCTCCCGCGATCCTTCCACCCCAGCCTTCCAAGTAGCTGGAACTACAGGTGCACGCTACCACGCCCAGCTAATTTTTGACTTATTGTAGAGATGAGGTCTCTCCAAGTTGCCCAAACGGGTCTTGAACCCGCGGGCTCAGGCAATCCACTCACCTCAGCCTTCCAAAGTGCTGGGATTACAGGCTGAGCCACCGAGCCTGGCTTCAGTGTGTTCTTAAAGAGAAAAACTGTGACTGCCTGTTATTCATGTGATTATTTTTCGTGGTTCCTTTTTGAGTGCTTTATTCTTTGAGAAAAAGACTTCTTTTGTGGAGGAAAAAAACTCCGAATCTTCCAGTTTCTCAAGAGTTTGACCGCAAATCCATTGAGGTTTACAGGACCAGGCAAACTGGACAGCAGCAAAGAAGATTTTGATAGGGAAATCTGGGGCAAAAGTCTTCCTTCATGTTGGCAAACCTTGAGTGCATTCAGCTGTGTGAACACCGTGACACAGTGTGTGAACACCGTGACACAGTTGTGTGCTCACTGACCACGTGTCCAGCAGGCTCACCGTTGGGCTCTCCCTCAGGTCTCTTACTCTCCTTCTGTTGCTGCTTGTCCTCTTGTAGGTGTGGGGATATTCAGCTTCGCCAGGTATGGCAGTGATTTTTATAGCTTGCACTATGAAGGCAGAGTGAAGACGCTCCAGAAGACATCTCTGAGAGACTATTCAATTTTTGATGACTATTATATTCCGGAAATAACTAGTGTTTTGCTGCTTCGATCCTGTAAGGTGAGTTATTTATAAAATCCTACAGGACCTTTTTAAAGAATTTTTTACAGAGATCTTAATTTCCTAAGTTGTATATTATCAGTCCTTTAGGTAATATTACAGGGAGTTGGTATCATTTGTATAATTTTGGTGGATAATGGTTGACTGAAATAATCAGTCAAAACAAAATCTAAGTGAATACCTTCACTTGAAAGTTATAACATTGATGCTAGTCTTTTTTTGTTTGTTTGTTTAGTTGGAATCTCACTCTTGTCATTCAGGCTTGTGGCACTCTCACAGCTACTGCCTTCTCCACCTGCTGGGCTTAGGTGATCCTCCTGCCTCAGCCTTGCAAGTAGCTGGAACTACAGATGCATGCCACCACGCCCGGCTAGGTTGCCAGTTTTTTGTATGGCTAGTTACATGCAGCCCTGGCTGTACCCAGGTCCTCACTTTTAGTTTCATTCCTGAATTCTGGGGTGAGGAGGTAGCCTACCCTTCCAGGCTGCCTTCCCAAGGCCTTCAGAAGCCCTCTGCTCTTGGAGTGGGCCTGCCTTCCTTGGACTTCGGGCTACGCTTGACTGTGGTTCTACTTATGGTTCCTGACTTCTCCCCACTCCTGCTCTTAGGAAAGGCCAGCTCCCCTTTTTCTTCTTTCTTTATAGCAAAAGAAATAGGCTCTTCCTTCAGCTAGAGAAGTACTGCTTTCACCAGTACTATTTGTTGGGGTTTGAGAACTGCACCTCTTAGAATTATGTTTTCTAAAATGTGTTTCTTGGGCTGGGCATGGTGGCTCATGCCTGTAATCCCAGCACTTTGGAAGGGCAAGGCAGGCAGATCACTTGAGCCCAGGAGTTCAAGACCAACCTGGACAACACAGTGAGACCTTGTCTCTACCAAAAAAAAAAAAAATCAACAAATCAGTTGAATGTGGTTGTGTGCACCTATACTCCCAGCTACTCGTGAAGCTGAGGAAAAAGGATCATCTGATCCCAGGAGGTCGAGGCTGCAGTGAGCCCTGACCGTGTGTCACCGCACTCCAGTCTGGGCAACAGAGTGAGACCCTGACTCAAAAAAAAAAAAAAAAAAAGTGTTCCTTGGGCCACCTGCGTGAGCATCGCCTGATGTGCTCATTAACGTGGGAGTCAAGTTCCCCTCCTCCCAGAGCGACTAATCTCACAGTGTGAAGGGTCCCACAGTCCGAACTGCAACAGGTACCCTCGTCTACACCAGGGGTGCTCAACCAGTGGTGATTTTGCCACCTGGGGGACATTTGGCAATGTCTGGAGACATTTTTGGTTGTCACAGCTGGAGAGGCAGTTCTGCGTCTGGGGGGTGGAGGCCAGAGATCCTGCTGAGCAAACTGCAGTGAACAAGTCAACCTGGCCACCCGGGGTCGTCTGCCTGACGTGCCGGTGGTGTCGAGGCTGAGAAACCTGGTCCGGGGGACGTCATCTGGGGAAATGAGAGATTATTAAGTCTTTGAAGGTCTGGGCAAGGTGAAGTCTTGGTGATAAAGATAAGGGAGTTGACTCCTGCAAATCTGTTTCTTGAAAGAGTAAGAAAAAGAAGAGATATGCAACCTGTTGATGCTAATGGTGGCGATGCTGTAAATCCTCCGTGTGACTGTCTTGCAGACCTTAGCCCATGAGATTGGACACATATTTGGACTGCGACACTGCCAGTGGCTCGCGTGCCTAATGCAGGGGTCCAACCACTTGGAAGAAGCTGACCGGCGCCCTCTGAACCTTTGCCCTATCTGCTTACGCAAGTTGCAATGTGCTGTTGGCTTCAGCATTGCAGAAAGATACAAGGTAAATCGGGGGTGGAGGGGAGCTAAAAAGGGGAAGTGGTTACCTAAGTCACAACTGACATTTTCTATTAGGTACTTCTCTAGAGCTGTAATTTATCAGAGGAAATTAGTGTAAAGATAAGCAGGAAGCTGTGGTTTAAAAAAGAAGCTGTGCAAAGAAATACCCTTCAACTTGCTTGCCGGTTGCTGTGGCTCACGCCTGTAATCCCAGCACTTTGGGAGGCAGAGGCAAGAGGACTGCCTGAGTCCAGGTGCTTGAGACTAGCCTGGGCGACTTGGCAAGACACCTCTACAATAAATGAAAAAATTAACTGGGTGTGGTGGCACATGCCTGTAGTTCCAGCTACTTGGAAGGCTAAGGCGGGAGGATCCCCTGAGCCCAGCTGGTTGAGGCTGTGGTGGCCGTGAGCGTGCCACTGCACTCCAGCCTGGGCGACAGAGTGAGACTCCACCTTAAAAAATATATATATAAAAAATTTGTGTTTGAGTGGTTTATACTTACAGGTCAATGAAGAATGGGAGAAGTTTCTCGATTTCTCATTTATTTAGGACAGGAGAGCTTGACTTTGCAGAACAGAACAAATATTGGCAGAGGTCATTTTAAAATTTTTTTCTGAGTTGGAGTCTCATTCTTGTTGCCCAGGCTGCAGTGCAGTGGCACGCTCACGGCCACTGCAGCCTTGACCTGTTGGGCTCAGGCGATGCTTCCGCCTCAGCTTTCCAAGTAGCTGGAACCACAGGCATGTGCTACCGTACCCAGCTAATTTTTGTGATTTATTGTAGAGATGCAGTCTCACCAAGTGTGCCCACGTGTGCCCCCACGCATGTCAGTGTACTTTCACGTGGCTACTCATGGGTATGACTCCCCTGGGACTGTACCTAGATGTCTACACCCATGACTTCACACGCATGTGTCTACCCATGGCTGTGTATGCACTTACATATGTAGACACATCAAGTTAAAAGTGCAGTATAATGAATGCCTTGTGGAATATTTCACAAGTTGAGAAAACATAATTACCACCCTAAAACAAAACCATGTAAGAATCAGTATATTTCTTTTTCATTTTTTTCCTACGTATATCTCTGGCCATAAGTTGTAATTACAGCTTGTGCGTATTTGGTTTGAGCTGTTCCATTTAGTGTAGCAATAAGTGTCGTTTCACGTTCCTTTTTTCTCTTGCCTAAAGTTCCTTTGCTGAGGTTTGTTACAATCTGAGTCTTTGTACTTTTCAAGGCGTTGTTGAGTTGGATTGATGGTGAATCTACTGACGCACCTGCCGTCGCTCCAAAACGCAGCCACGAAGAGAGTGTGAATATACCGAAACCTGTCGAGGCCTTTAAGGACTGGAGAGGGTGGATATTCAAATGCCTTGCTGTTCTCCAAGAATAGGGACCATTAAGTAGGGGTAATTAAAATAAATACTTGCACATCATGCTTTCATTTGGGTGGAGTTCTTCATTGGAATAACTCTGTTCTGATTCCACACTGGGTCAAAATGTAGACTCTTTCTTTAAAGCACCTGAGGGCCGGATGTGGTGGCTCACGTCTATAATCCCAGCACTTTGGGAGGCCGAGGTGAGAGGATGCCTGAGCCTATGGGTTTGAGACCAGGCTGGGCAACTTGGCGAGACCTCATCTCTACAATAAATCAAAAAATTAGCCAGGCGTGGTGGCGTGTGCCTGTAGTTACAACTACTTGGAAGGCTGAGGCAGAAGGATTGCTGGAGCCCAGCAGGTCGAGGCTGCAGTGGCCATGAGCATGCTACTGCACTCCAGCCTGGGCGACAGAGGGAGACTCCAACTAAAAAATAATAATAGTAAAGCACCAAAATTGAAATTAGATTAATTTGAATAATGAAAACTTCATAAACTCTTTATCTTTTGTCTTACTAACCTGGCAGTGAGCAAATTATTTCTGTTCTTCAAATATGTTTATGTCTCACAAGAAAGCCAGGACTGCCAGTAACGGGAATGTAAATAAATGCTTTGAAAACAACTGTGTGTGTCCCGAGGGGCCAACCCACGTAAAATTTCCAGGGGGTGGTTTTGCTTCTGGAAGAGACGCCCCTCCCTGCGGGCGCCCCCCTCCCCCGGGGTGCCCTGCCCTTTTGGCTCCCCTCTGTCAGCTTGTCCCTGCAGGAAGCGACGGGTCATGTTGATTTTTAGCAGCTTGGACTGTGACCTCTCGAGAACATTTACAGATGATGCAACAGTGTTCCTTAGACTACTCCATGCTCTGGTGGGTGAGAGTTCTGTGGTAGTTCTCGGCAAAACAGTCATTTGTGAGGGGTCTTTAAACAGCTTGTAATGGCATTTGGGTTTGTGGGTGCTGTACTTTTTCTGCAGGGTTAGAGCAGGTTTCAGCTCTATTTCTGTAATAGTGTCTTTCTCACTTTTTTGCACCGTGAAGTGTTTAGTGGGGGAGAGAGTGCATTGTGGTATCTGTTGAGGTACCAGGAATGCCCCAGGATGGCCTGTGGTCTGTGGGCATCAGCCCCATTGCTGTGGTGGTGAGCAGGTGAAAGCCTCGGACTTGACAACCGCCTTGCTAGAGAATCCTGGAAGTCTAGAGATGGCATCATTTCATTCCACTGAATGTCCGTGAGCAGACAGTGTTTCACCGTTGCGTCTTTCCTTGGAGGTGAGACTCAAGAATAATTTTTGTTGCACTTTGAAACCCGAGTTATTTCATTGTTAGGCTTTATGCAGTATGATTTAGGGTACGTTTTACAACTGGATTAATAGTTTCCCTTGGATTCACTGTCCTTTTGATTAAACATCTTCAGTCATTTTAGAAAATGGTGGTTTGCTAGAATTAATCAGGAGAAAACACTTGGTCATTCTCATACCGAAAAGAGAACCAGGTGGAGCATGAATTTTATGAACTCTTACAGGTTTTATTTCCTCCTTGAGTAATGTACTTTTAAAATTTTTGTCCAGGCTGGGAGTGGTGGCTCACGCCTGTAATCCCAGCACTTTGGGAGGTTGAGCAGGAGGATTGCTTGAGCTCAGAAGTTCCAGACCAGCCTGGGCAACAGCGAGGCCTTGTATCTACAGGCGTGCGCGTGTCTGTAGTCCCAGTTACTCTGGAGGCTGAGGTGGAAGGATTGCCTAAGTCCGGAAGGTCAAGGCTGCGGTGAGCTTTGATCATGCCCCTGCACTCCAGTCTGGGTGACAGAGTGAGACTCCAACTCAAGAATAAATAAAAATAAAAGTATTTTCCATTCTATTATGTTTTCTTTTTCTACAAGGCAACCATTGTTTTTAGTCCTGTGGCATTTGCCACAGACCCCTTTGGATTCAGATTTGCCTAGGTAAAGAAATGTGGGATTGCAGTTATTTGGATGAGACATAAAGTTCATTTGCGCGTCTTCTGCACTGTGAGATCAGGAAAAAAGGTATGTTAAAGAAATAAGTCATTCACTCTTGTTAAAAATTGGACTCAACATTTAAACGTATTTTGTTTTTTTTTGTTTTTTTTTTTTTTTTTCATTAATCAGTAGTTTTTATTATGGTTTTTAAACGTATTTTGAATAACAGGCATTTATTCAGCAATCATTACTTCAGTGCTGTGTATAATTACTGTGTTGTATACACTATTGGACAATTTCTTAGGCTTTAGTTTAAAAGCAAAATTTGTCTACTGAAACTAAATTGTATGTACTATGGTAAAAGCTTTGTAGATGAAAGAAAAATAAGTTTTTCTCTAACTAGAAATCCAAGCAGACTTTGCTCTGTCAATGCTGAATAAACAAGACGTTGAGCTAATAAAGAGAACAATTTTCCACTGTCAAAATATTGCCTTAGAAATAAGCGAATGTGAGGCCTGGCACGGTGGCTCGCACCTTAATTCCAGCACTTCGGGAGTGGGGTCGGGAAGATTGCTGGAGCAGGGGAGTTTGAGTCGCAGCGAGCTGTGATGGGCCCCCTGCACCGGCCCGGTCTCTCAACTGCAAAAACGAGGTCCTAGCTCGGCCCTTGGCGCCCACGGGATCAGCGTCGCCCGCCGAGGGAGGCGCTCGAGGCCGACGGGACGTCCACCCACGCGGGGCGAGGGCTCA